TCCTCTTTTTAATTCAAAGAAATTATAATTAAGTACAAAAAAGCAATTTTTTTTCATATTCTTATTGTTCAGAACATTTTGGGAGATCTTTTTTTTCAAAACATAAAATTCAATGTGCTGCGTTGCTTTTTTAAAGTACAGGACTTTTTAAAACCAGAAAAAGTAACAAAAGTAATTCAAGAACTTTTAAAAGAACTTGTTCTCTTTACAATATATTCATAAGAAAACTGGAGAAGCTGAAAAATGTGCTAGCTACTGAGTGTATTGCCTGCCACGTTGGAAACAGCTCCACAGATAGCAGAATCAGACTTGGGATTGAAACAGACCTTTGCTCTATTTTCTTTGCTTATTTGGCCCTCGGGGAATCAGCTGCTATTTAGAACCAAGGCTTTAAATCAGATCAGAAATAGTTGAAATAATTCATAGTGGTTTGCTCTGTCCCAAACTAAACCAAGCCCAGAAAATAATTTTATTCTGAACTGTAAAATAAAGCAAGGTTTAATGGAAAATATCCAAATACCTAATGAATTAGCATCCAAATAGAGCTCCCTTGAGGTCAGCTAGTCCAACACCCCAGTGATGCTTCATTCTTCCATTCTTTCTCTACAGTCACAACCATTCATAAACACATTTATGCTTATAGACATGTAAACATATATATTTATACATATATACATTCATATATTCAGTGCATGTGTATTCTCATATGTATAAATACATACAGATACGTATATAATGCGTATACACCAATGCAGGTTGTCATCCAGTGTCTACTTAAATACTCGCAGGGACTGGCAGGAAACTCCACTTTTCCCATAATGGTCACATGCAGAAGGGGGATTTGATTAATACTAGATATTGTTTTTGTTACTGTTTTAAATTCTTTCACTAAGTGGCTACCTCATTACTCAGCTCCCTCCCACTTTCCTATGACTATATTGATAAAGAAACTAAATGACTTTAGAATTTTCCTGATTTATCATTTGCTGATTTGATCAAGAACTCTTCTCTTTAAAAGAATTTAATGAAAGTATCAAAAAATTAATTTAACTGAACCAAGATTTCATTTGATTTCAATTTCTCTATCTGTAAAATACTATTCATAGGATACATGTATCTATGTGAAAGCCATACATTTTAAGATAAAGGCAAAGTTGTGTGTCAGGAGTGAGCAACATCAAGTTTATATTTATCCTGTAACGGCAGCTCCTAGATTTCTGTCATATCTATGATCTCTCTTATTTATATTTCTCTGGCATAATGACTAGTGCCTATTTTAGGTTAAATTTGATTTCTTATAGACTGAAATTTCCCCCAAATGCCTGAAGTCCAGTGGTAAATTGAAATGATCCTTGATGTTTGTTTGCACCATGTCCTTGTGTACACTTTTGGCATGTCCGTGCATAACAATGGGAAAGGACGATTAGCAAATAGACTGTATTTCTTAACCCTTGTACTTCTGATATCGAACTAGCTCTAAAGTTATTTATTCAGCTTTACTGATAAAGTCTTAGTAAATGGAAGCTATTTCTACAAATGTGTTTTCATTTAATAAAAGGAATTAAGGCTCAAAAATGGTTCTCAAATGGCAGATACCCACTGATCAAGGCAGAAGACTTTACTTATTTAAATTATTTAAATGGGTTTAAGACCACAAGTGTAGATACAAAACACAATTTAATGATTTTTAGATTGTTCTTTCCCGATTGCAGTCTTTGACTGTAACACCTATTTGAACATAATATGCAAATGGACTCTGATAAATTATCTTGATTCATAATTAATATATACCACTTTTCTACATCCTTCTTAATTGTGAGAATTTCTTAAACTAAACACACTGTGTATTTAAAAACATTAAAAACTAAAATGTATGATACACAAATTCATTTAATGTTCTTCCACTTCAAGATTCTTGGATATGTCTTTTTTCATTCTAAGCACTTACCTGGTTACCGTTTTAAGACCTCCTAATGGATGTCCTCTTTCAGCTTTTTTTACACTTTCTTTAAATCACTCAAGCATGTTTTGCCTTAAAATTCCACATAATCCCATTGTTATACAAGGATTCACATGATAATTTTTTACATATAGAACTGTAGTTGTATGCTAGAACCATACTATAAATTCTCAGAATAGCATTAGCGTAATTTGTCTTTCTGTGATCACTGACATTGAAAAGGATACTTATTACCATTTGTGAAATATGGTCAGGTCCACATGTTGAGACAGAAATTAATCACTCTCCCTTTAGAAGGGTCAAGTTTAGGGATTTTGGAGTACCAATTAGAAAAATGCTCTTTTATGGCATCTTAATATTCTAAGCAATTAAATGCACATTTAAAAACGTGCTCCTACTGCACTGTCACATCCAATCTAATGTGAATACGTGCTTATATATTCAGCCCAATTTCAATCTGAGTCAGGCCTGTTATCCACCTCCAGAAGGAAGCCCGCCAGAGATTTCCATGGAGGCAAGTGAGAACCGGTCTTATCCTTTCGGAAGAGAAACTCTCTGCAGAGCTACTACATTCTCTTGAAAGAGATCAGAAAATCTCCCAAGAGCTAAACAGAGGGCCTCAGTTTCCCCATAATGACATTTTGTTATATGTCTCCTAGGGACATGTGCATAGGAAAATATTGTATTTGGCAGCACATTTTGGTGTTTGGCAGTGAAGACAACGGTTGTTGCCCAAACTTGAACAGTGCAGAGAAAGTGTGAAGGAAAACCCTTTGTAACTGGGAAACACACATTATTCAGGCTCATGCAGAAGAGAAATCAAGCTCACAATGTTCATGAAATTATACTCATAGAAATTTTAATGTTTCCGTGATATGCCTGTGCAGTATTCTAAAATGTAACTATTCAAGTGGATCAACTCAGTGGCATTTTACTTCTCTCTCATTGAAATCGCATCTCTAATAATTGCAAGGGAAACCTAAAAGCTCCTTAGTATCCCCATCAATAAGGAGAATATGTGTAAGAAATACAAGCTCAGCTCATTCAGTCCCAATGTTTCTGTTTTTAGAAATTCTACATTCTCTAAACCTACAAAAGAGCGAAAGAATTAGGCAAAGATATCTCTCTGCATCTGAATCCAACTGCTTCAAAGCTGTGTAGAGCTCTGAAAAGTCAATGGAACTCTCTTACATGTTGTTGACAATATTGTTATTTTCTACTTTACTGTATGTCTAGATTCAGATGCCATTAGCCTTCCGACCAAAACCAAATCTCTTCACAGTTCCAGGAATTCTTTACTGGAGGAACTCTAACTACCAGTATCCTTGAAAAGTTAGAGAATAAGTAGATAGATAATGCCTATATTAACACTTCTTTTCCTCAGCTTAATAATGATGGCACAATTTGAACATCAGAATTGTGCTGAATCTGTGTAGTCCCAAAGCTGATGATTGCAGAAGTAAAGGAGAGTCTTTTGTTTACCTGGATCTTTTATGAGCTTCTCCTATAAAAAGTACCTAGAAATTAAGTAATAAAGTATTACTAAAACAAAAATAAAAAATATCAACCCAGGTGCAAAAGTTTAGTGTTAACTGATTATCCAACTTTAATCTTGACGTTGATACTTAATGTGTTTATGAAAATAAATTGGATATATATTGAAACTATTGGAAGAAAGGCTGAGGACTACATCTTTTGAGTAGGTTACAGACAGAACAGATAGCTTTGTGGACAAAGCTCTCAAAATTGTAATTTCTTACATTTGTGCAGAGCTTCATGGTTTACAAAGCACTTTTGCCAATGGTGAATCCTTCTCTCTTACTCATCAGATTTCAGGCCATAGATGGCTTTTGGTTCTCTGGACTGTAGCCTCTCAGAACCTGAGCATACCAATAGGCATGGGGAATGGGTTGGTCTGCCGGTCACTGAGGAGGTTTGGCCATGTGCATGTCTGCCCTGATGACTACCCTTGCTTCTGTAGGTGGGAGGCCACCCCGTGGACCGCGTGCTCCTCCTCGTGTGGGGGGGGCATCCAGAGCCGGGCAGTTTCCTGTGTGGAGGAGGACATCCAGGGGCATGTCACTTCAGTGGAAGAGTGGAAATGCATGTACACCCCTAAGATGCCCATCGTGCAGCCCTGCAACATTTTTGACTGCCCTAAATGGCTGGCACAGGAGTGGTCTCCGGTAACTGTGCCTTCTTTCTTTGTTCATTAGGAGAGTAAGGCCACTCTTCCCTCTCATCACCATGGCCCCACCGGGTACCCTGTGCAGCTCCACACTTCTCCTCTTGAGGTGTCTAGAAGCCTACCAGCTTAGCTCCTGGAGTAGGAATGCCCCAAATCCAGCATGACCAAAAGTAAATGATGTTTTTTTTAAATGTCTTTCTTCAAGTTACTTCCAGAAGCCCCTGTTGCCTCCCAGATAACGTTCCCTCAAATGGCAAAGGGAAACTAATGCCTTTCAAGAGTAATTGAGGCTGAATGACTCATCCTGGATCTGTGAAAGCTGCTTTGATGATAGAATTCAGTAGACCAGAAGTTTGATTTCACATTTTATTTATTATACTTTATATCCAAAAAGGGTCTAAGTAGATTAAAATTAATACTGTGAATATTATTTATTGGGGGGAAAAGGTGAGATGAAAATAGCACAAAAGTTAAAATTGGGATGAGATAGGACAATTAAAACAAAAATCTATAGACTTTAGGAAACCTGCTGTCATTAAACATAAAATGTTATCCTGGGATTCCTGGCTGCTAACAGAAAAATGGAAAGGGCAAAGGAAATAGAAAGATGAAATAAGCCATTGTATCCTCAGCCACAGAAATGACAAAAGCCTCTTCACTGAGCCCTTTGGCTTTGTGGCAGCAGATCAGGAGCTGTGACGTTTTCTGTATCTAGACACACGACCGACATGGAGAACCATTGGTGGTGCTGTCTGTATCTGCCATCTGGCCTTTGAATGAGTTCCTTGAAACCTTTTTTCCATCTCAATATAATCAACTGGATTGGCCACGCCACAATATAAATTAGCTATGACAGCAGTTTTAAATTTTTAAATATTCATGTGGGAGCATTTTCCATATTTTTGGACGCAGCAGTCATTAGCAAAGTAATAGAAAAATGTGATGTTGCAAATCAAAATTTAACACACTCTACAGTTTCTTTTCTCCTTTTTGGGGGTGGTTGGTTTGAGACTTTTTCCACAGTGGGTGCTTAAAGATTGCTGACTGATTGATCCAAAGATAAGGAACTGAAAGTGATTCCATTTTTAGCCAGCTTTGCCTCAAATAATCTAACAGAACAAAGATGCCAGAACTGGTAAGAAGTGGTATAAATTTACCAGGAGTCCTCACCTAAAAAGGAGTCCTTAGATTTAAAGTCTTGGGTGGGAAGTGAAAAAAAGTAAATGAGACTTTGCCTATGAGTCTTTCTCTTGCAATCTCTTTCCAGTGCACAGTGACGTGTGGCCAGGGCCTCAGGTACCGTGTGGTCCTCTGCATTGACCATCGAGGAATGCACACAGGAGGCTGTAGCCAGAAAACAAAGCCCCACATCAAAGAGGAATGCATCATACCCACTCCCTGCTATAAACCCAAAGGTAATTTGACAGGTGTTCTCCTACCAGTCTGTTCATTCTCATGTGTATGCAGGTGCTGTTTTAAACTCCTTGGAATATTTTTAAGTCTCCCAAGTATTCTTAGTACAAATTCTTTATAACTTAGACTCTAGTAAACGAACTTGATTTTTTAAAAATCTTTCCAATGGTTTTCATTACAAATTTTTAAGTACTACATATAGAAATCCATTTATATAACTATCTCCCAAGTCATAAAATTGTTCGAAGACCGTTGCTGAAAAATATCAGATATAACTACTGAAAGGGAGATCAGATATTATAGAAATAAATGCGTGATTTACTGTCCACATTTCTTGCCGTTGTAAGCAAGGAATGAATCCAAGTGCATCTACTTCCCTAAGCCTGAAATACACTGGGAAATCTGATACTTCAAACTGATGAAACAGAAAACTGTCACTTTTTATATTGAAAATTAAAACATTAATATGAGACTGAATTCCAGAACCATAATCTGAAATAAAACTTAAAATATATCATAATTTAATAGATATTACAAATAATTTATTAAAAAGGAACTTTAGAAAAGTTCTAGATAGTGAGCAAGATTTATTATAATTATACCTAGTCCCTCAGATTAGCATGAATACTAATCTGATTTCCGTGCAAGTAGTGTTACCTGTGTGAATGAAATCGAAAAATCCAAAGTCACAAACCATTCAGAAGTAAGGAATTCTTTATCGTAAACCTCCTCTAATTTTTAATCTTTAAATATGGTTCCCATTTCTTTCTTAAGCCATTTTATTTTGTTAAACCGTTAAATTTCTCTGAAAATCAGCCACAATGTAACTATATTATTATATTTTTATTTTATTATTATATTATTATTATACTATGAATTACCTTGTTGCAAGTGAATGATATCATAAATCTAAATTAATGATATAAAATAAAACCAAAGAACAAAAGCATACCAGAAATCCTGATTAATTTTAATAAATTTCTCTCTCTCTAAGCCTCAGTTTCCTCATCTGTAAAATGGGAATAATAATCGTATCTATCTCAAAGATCATGTGAGAGTTAAATAAGATATAATGTAAATAGTGTGGTTAGCCTAATACCTGGCATACAGTAAGTTCTGTTCAAATGTTACCTTTAACTCTTGACTATCATTATTATCCTCAAAGATAAGAGGAGGTCGCTACAGACACATCGGATAGGATTCAGTTCAAATCAGTAGTAAAGTATTGCGCTTCTACTATTAGTGCCAAACTGAATGCTTCGTCATTGAAAGACAGCTAACTCACGTCAGAGATGGCTTCACTGACCGAGTCATTTAATTGGAATAGATGGGGTAATTATAAAATGAAGTCTGTATAGATACTGTATTATTGTGTTTAAAACATTACCAAATCCATTTGGCATTAGCAGTTTTACATTTCTCACTTGCTTTGTTTTCTGACTATAAACAATTGCTGCACATAGAGGACGAGAAGTGGTGCCCCTGACTTAGAAAGGTGGATTATTTATTAGCTTTATCTTCACCAAGCCACTTCAGAGAAAGAAAAGTAATTTGTGGTTTACTATCAAGAATGAAATCTGGATTTTCACCGCTAAGAAGTGAGACTGGCTCTCTAAACATCATTAAAATACCATATAATTCTATGGGGTGTATATATATTGATATATTTCTTTCATCTTTACAATTATATGTTATAAAATGGTGATAGAGCTTTACTGACTCATAGTGTAAAGGCAAATATGCCTATAAATGACCCTAATAAATATATCAGAATGGGAATCTTGGCAGTTACTTCTGTAGGAGCAGTTATAACCTCCCTCTTGATTTTCCTCCTCCACATTTTTTTCCTCAGGAAGTAGTTAGGAAGCTTGTTCTGAATTATTTGGCCAAAGCTAGATAAATAGGTGAAACCAGTCAAATTATGGGTTTTGAACTCTAAGTTGTACATATTCCAGTTGAAGGTGAGCTTTGGGGTAGTATTGAATGAGTCAGATATCTAAAGCAATATTTCGTGAATTTCAGAGTGGCAGAGTTTCTTTTTGACAATGTGATCTAGATCACACTTAGACAAAAGGCAAAAAGAAGTTAAAATTTATAAAAATATTACAGTGTAACTGATTATACTTTGTGTTTGTTTTAAAAAGCAAATATTGCTCTATCTTTTCAACAGCAAATAGCGAAAAGATACTTTGATTCTTTATATGCATACTGAGCTAGTGCTCCTAGAGTTATGGTGACTTTCAGAATAAAAGGACTTTGCTTTGCTATTCAACATAGTAAAGAGGAAGCATACATACAGACGAGTATTATTAAACGTTTTTTAAATCTTCTTTTACTTTTCTGATATAACCATCATCAGAAGCAGCAATTTACCTAAAAACTTATTATTTGTGGTTGTCAACATAGTAACTTCTAGGCACAGTGCAAAACTAAGAATTAGTGAGGAAAAAAAGGAATTTCCCTGAAATTCCAGATTGATTCTAACCTCTTCTCTTTTATGTGCATGCACTAAATTCTCAGAGAAACTTCCAGTGGAGGCCAAGCTGCCTTGGTACAAACAAGCTCAGGAGCTAGAAGAAGGAGCTGCTGTGTCAGAAGAGCCCTCGTAAGTTTTAAAAGCACAAATTGTTCTACTTTTGAAGCTGATTGGTTTAAAGAAAGCAGTGCCTCACTGATTGTGCCTTTCTGGGTTCTGAACTAAGCGTAATCATCTTACCAAAGGTGAAATGAGGCTTTTGGGCACTCTAATTAGAGATTTATGAGTTTCAAAGTGTTTGTCAAAACTTATGATTGGTCTCCGAATACTTTTTAATTTTGCCTCAAGTAGGAAACTGAAGGCGTAGTGCTTGTCCTCTTCTCCAAAATCTGACCACCTCTTCTCTCTTGGCTGGGAACCAAAGGTGAGAAGGCCCAGGCTGCATCTGATGATGTAACATAGATTTGATGTGAAAGTCAGGGCAGCTTTTCACACTCCTTATCTCCCAGCTTTGCAATATAGCCATTCACAAAAATTAAAGGGTGGAAAACATGTCTGAAGGCAAAGGGAGTTTATTATTTTCTTTTCCCTTTCATGCTGGCATTGGTATCAGAGGGAGACCCAGGTTTTTGCCCCACTGGAGCAGGATTCCATGCCTGCTCAGTTTCATCAAGGCCAGATGCTTCAGAAGACGAAACCAAGAGAGACAAATTAGATTGATTGATTGATAAGCGTATATATTGATTTTACTAGAAAACTGATAGGCGTATCTGCTGCATCAATTTTACAAAAAAGAGAATGTACTTAATTGACAGATTTTTATCTTTGACCCAAGCAATTTCTCAGGTTGAAGGTTTTCTAGATTTATTCATTTATTAGAAGTGCTAGGCTCTTGTGTTATTTACTGGTACACAAGACATATTATACTCCCTCCAGAAGTTCACAGTATAGCATGGAGGATATGAAATGCTTTCCAAATTTAACCCATAGTTTAAATTTTACTAGACATATAAATTAGCAGGTAATCTAAATATTCAATGCAATTTAGAATTTTCTCAGGTTCATCCTGTTTGATTTGAAATCTGATGTGGTTTGCCAGAACACAGTTGTGTCCCTGAATCTCACTGTAAACCATAAGAGATGCAACAAGAAATCCAAAATATAGATTTGTACAATAACCAAAGGTCATTCGTTTGTAGGAAATTATATTGTCACTTGATTTCACAGAAAAATGGGACATACCTTAGGCAAAACATTTCTCACTTAAAAGGACAATTAAGCAAAACATAAATTATTTCTGTAAAGTTACTACAGGAATCTTTTATACTTGTTTGAGAAAATGCAACTAACCATTGCAGAACTTTGGAAGAAAGGCAGTGGTTTGAGATCACAATGCAACCTTCAAGTGAATAGATGAAGCTTATTTTGTCTTTCTCCTGCTAGTACCTGGTTTGACAGGCCTTCCTGTTGCTAAAGAGGAAGTAAGCAGTTCATTTTAAAAGGGCATTAATTCCTTAATCCACTAAGGTCCTATTTAAGACACAGAAAGATGCTATGTAATTGGAGCTGGTTACTCCTTTTATGTATTCTTGGGTTAAATATGCTGAAAATCAAATAAACTCTCTGCTCTCCTTGTACACTATATTTTGTCATTTGGTCTAAAGCATAACCCAATCTATAATATTGCATTCTGACTGATGTTAAATAATAACAAAGGTGAAGATAAATAAAAAATCATACATCAATAATGAAGTATCTTTTCCACTTTTAGATGCCTTTGAAATAAAAGCTGTCGGTAGAGTTTAATGCTTCTGCAGAAGCATTGCATAGTCCATGGTCAACCATATTTTCTAATTTTTTTTCTGCTAAAGGTCTGATTAAGATGCATTATGTTTAGCTTTAATCTTAATAAAATCCCTAAAGTAGTCAAACACATAGTTTTAGCCATTGAAACTATAGCCATATATGAGACTATTAAATTTTACTCTTAGTGTAATAGAATTGCCATCTTGGCATGATTAATCTGAATTGAAGTAGATTGTAATTGGAGTGGTGGTGCAGGGTAAAGGAA